TGCTAAAACTGCTTTAGCAATTTATAGACCATTAGCTTAATCCTCACTAGCCTTCTCTTGTAGTCCATAGAATAATTCTAGAGATTAAAAATACAATTGCTGCAGAAAAACTAATCGCTATCTCCCATAACGCCTCAGTCAACTTTTACAAGATCTGGGATTGATGGCTAAATCATGAAATGTTGTAGTTCAATTATTTGCTTTTCTTACTGAAATGTTTTTCCTAGCCAAACATACTGGGACCTTTTTTTCCAGGTAAATGCTAAAAAGCAAAAAAGGAGCAGTGCAACCACTTTTAGTTTACAAACCAGTGCTACCACAATTTATTTAGGGAACAAGAATAACAGGCAAACATTTCAGGTATAACCCTACTTAAATGCATTGTATCACCTTTTTTCCCTTTCCTCTGTTGTATTTGTTTCGTTTTATAGAAAAGAAACTACATTGGCTGTTTTAGCATTGTTTATTTTACTCATGTTGTATTGTACTTTTTAAGAATGTGTAAAAAAAAAAAAAAGCAAAACAATTTTCTGTTATGCGAAATTTCCTATCTTTAAGTCTAAATGAGTGACTTCCTATTCTGTAATCCAATTAAAGAATTTGGATAATATAATCACATCCCCTCTGAGAAGTCTTCTATTCTTTATTCATAACTAGGATTTTCATTCCTTTTACCGATTGTGTAGCCTGCTTCTGTACTATTTCTAATTTTATAATATAGTCCACACACAGTACACCCCTTCACATACAATTCATCCCCCCACACACTGAGAAAACACACATATAGTACTCCCCCAAGTGCACATACTCCACACAATGTACATGCAAACACACTATAGCACCTAATTTTACCTAGCACCACAACAGACCCCATTGCATACAGTATACCACAAACAGCCCCTTCTACAAACATGCCTAGAGGGATATTGGCTATACCTCACTGATGATGCCCAACAAGATTGAAACGATTGATTGTAGTTGCTGTATCTCTCATGCATAGAGAGCTGGCCTGTATTTTGGATCTATTCTGCCCTTTTGGGTGTAATCATTCGGAGATGCATGGCCTGGTTCTCTCTAATGGCACAAGACTAGCTAAAACCAGCTTGAGAACTGAGCGGGGACCCACCGAAGGGCAGGCTAATTGAGCTATTGTCCGTTCTCAGCATTTTCTTGCAACTGGTTTTTTGCTCTCCTTAAGTTTGAAGGGTAATCCAGATGTGGACCCCTTGCTCGTGGTGTCTAGAAGGATATTGGCTATACCTCACTGATGATGCC